ACAAGTACTGTTTCTCATAATCATAACCTAAGATTTTGAAAACAAAGCAAAGTTATTACTGTTATTATTATTGTGAGCTAATGGTAATTAAAAACGTATTTTTAATAATTTTAGTGGTTCATTAGACCAATCTTTACCATATAAATCACCGTTACTTTCAACTTCAACTTCATGTATTTTAGCTGTTCCTGGAACAGGTTGTAATTTTGGTAGAAGATTTTTAATTTTTTCTGTATCATTACTGTCATAATAATATAATTTTAAATTTGTTTTACTTTGTAAATCGTTATATATTTCCTTTGCTGTTAAGTATGAATCATTAGGATGATAAGCTATTAAATCATCTATTTGTCGAAAACATAAAAACAGTATACGACATAGATGTTCAATTTTCAAGGAATGGCTGTCAGTACTAACGAGGTAAGGAAACCAACCGTCTAACCGCTTTTATGCCGTCAGATCGTGGACAATAGGCAATCAAGTACACGCTGATCTGACAGAGTCAGCGACGAAGAACACTTGATTTATGCACAGTTCACACTTTGTCGTATGCGTCAACCACAAGTCCGCTGTAGAAAAATGTAAAAAGTGTGAAGTGTGGAAACAATAACTAAATAATCAGAATCGATCGTAGAGATAGTGACGAGTAAATATTCAAACAAACAAAGCTATACCTCATTTATTTTCTATAAATGACTCATTCTTGTGTCTGTTATGTGAGAGTAGCGTAGAGAGATGTATTACGAAACCACTTCGACCGCGAAATCTTGAAACGGTATAATAGGAAACCTCTTCGCTTATTAAACCTTGATGAAGTTTCGTGGATTCTTACCATACCTTACAAAGAAAAGGTAAAGTTCCATCGAACCTCACAAATTTCATATTAAATCGTTTTTTCCAGAATGCATAATGAATTAACTGTAATCTGTTCACCTTTCCAATCAAGTATTTCTTCGTGCGTTGACGTATGAATATTGGATGCTCCAGATATCCACGTTATAAGATGGGTATATGGGTTATCACGTTGTCGAAATTCTATTCGTTAGAAATAATCTTTAACTGTACCAATGGGACCACTTGCTGGTCTGAGTATGTAAAAGAAACATAAGTAGAAATATTAAATTATATCGGACAAGTACTGTCTCAACTGGACTTTTTGTTTGAGCTTACTTTAATACTTTCATTAAATTCACCAATCAAACCAGTTTAAAATGTCGTGTACAACTCAAAGGATCCGAACCGATTAATCTGGAAATTGCTGATCACTTCATCTGATCTAATTTCTCATCGAATAGTTGCGCTTGTCAACTGCTTCACCTAAGTGCATAAAAAAGCATAAAAATGTAGCTGTAAGAAATGTGTTTTTTCTATTTATAAATCACTGACTAGGATCTGCAGTAAAAAATATTATTTAGTTTCAGCAGTACTAAACGTCATAAATAAACGAGGAACACCCAACTGTTAACAAACCTTATTACAGTAAAACAATCACGTTTTGCTTTTTCCCAATACGAGCTGCACCCTCGCATATCTTGGAAAATGTGATAAAACACCATGATCTAATGTGGCTAATTCGTCTGTAATTGGGCTTGACTCATTTTCATATCCATAACATAACCAGAATCGCCACTTTTCTGTTTTTCTTAATTAGGGATACTTAAATACAACTAACGATAAGCTAATAAAATTAAACACTTTTAATTTTATTTAATTTCTTGAGTTTGCTTACAGTTCTTAATAAACAATATAACATATTAAGCCAGATGTTTCAATTTATTAGCTAAATTTTCTTTAGTGGCAAAAACTATAAAAGAAAATAAATTTAAATTCAATCATATTTACAAAACCTAATCGTAGTATAGGTGATACGGTTAATAAAGACAAAATAATTGCTCTAAATAATAAAATAAAACTAATGATGAGAAATACATAAAAACTGAATATTCAATGTACGGGTTACCAAGTGAATGTGATGATTAATACACAGGTGAAATTGCAGCATTACATAAAAGAATTAAACAACATAAAACGAAAACGAAAAAATTTAATATCGAGAATTCTGAATTGGTTCAACATACCAGTGCTAGTACCGGTTGTGCAGTTAAATTTGTGAAAGCGTAATTTTCGATAATGAAAGTAATTTGTATCGAAGAAAGAAGCTAGAAAGTGTCTATTCTATCATCAATTTATCGTATAATAAGCGTCAATAGATTAGTCCGCAATGGATATCGATGATCAAGCAGTGGTTTAAACTACTATCGGGAAAGACTTTTTATTCAGTTGAAGAAAAAAGTAAAGTAGCAAAAGGAGAATATTCTAAAATCCTAAGTACGAACACCGGTTGCGAAAAACCGCGTCATAATAGATACTATAATCTTAGGGGATGTCCTAAGAAAACCAAATATTTTGATTTAGGTTGATTAAAAGAAGAGTTTTGGTAGGAATATATAGACATGGGTTCCTTTGTATTTTGTTTTGATATGTACTTTATGTACCTTATCTATTTCCCCAGAAACAAAAAGAAAAGGAAAGTTTGTTGTTGTTGTAAGGAGAAAGAAATAGAAAGGTAAAAATTATCTATTTATGTAGTGGAATCTGTTTCGTCATATTAGTACAATAGTTTTATTGTTAACATCTTTTGTACTTGCAGAAAGTTACGTGTCATACCTTATGTTTAATAATTTTTAAAAGTCGTGATCTAATTTAAATTTAAATTTATTTTCTTTTATTGTTTTTGTCACTGAAGAAAATTTAGCTAATAAGTGAAACGTCTGGCTTAATATATTATATTATTTATTACGAATTGTAAGCAAACTTAAGAAATTAAATAAAATTAAAAGTTTTTAATATTATTAATTTTCGTTTTTTGTAAAGACACGTTCGATTTGTCTTTAAAAAACTGCTGTAAGATGAAGACGAAGTTAGAAATGATCGTTTAGGCTTTTACTATAATCACTTGTAATGTCCAATAATTGAGATTTATGTTGTTTAAAAAAACTGATCGTTCAATTTGACTCCGTTGTATTTTCATGTGTACCATTAATATTTGAACAATGAATGCAGTGTTTATTGTCCGATCTCCTATGGAATCAAGTATGTTTACTTGCTCTTAGCTTTGTACTATGGATATAGTCCCCGTCTATTAAAAAAGATTGCCTATCTAACTCCTACTGAGGATACAGCAGTAACAACGAATCAAGCTTAACAATTAGAAAGACAGAATGCACGATGAATAGTATGCTCTGATGACATAACAAGTGCACAAACATTGTGGTTAAGAGGACAAGACTACAAAACCAGTCATATTTCTATTTGACTATTAATAAACCGATATATCTGATTGAATGAACATGTAGTTTGCGGATGTTGTGTTGAGACAAAACATTTTTCAAATCATTATCGATTGTTGTTAGAAAACTTGTTTCTGATGTCACTAATTTATCAGAATTTTTCTTGTAAACAATACTACCCAGGGGGAAATTTTAATTGATAAAACTACACGAACTCGCCTGAAGTTTGTGTAATGATATGTGGACATGTGCGAAAAACTCTTCCACTTGCGACCACGCGTCGTTTGTTCAAGAAAAAACTCCCGTTGTATTCTTCTCGTGTAGCTATAAGTGAAAGTTGGGAAGTACATCGCAGGTACGCATGAATTTTCACGTCAAAGTATCCAGGAAAGATTCCACTTGTGGACACGCATGAAAATGGTTTACTCAAATTTCTTATCAAAAATAAGAAATTCACGTCAACTGAGACGTGGTGTTTTTTGCACGAATGGATGATCCAGTTAAGTATCGAACAGCACGCCTGTTTGTCATGCCATTAAAAAAAGCGACCTTTCTCTTTAACTTTTAAAGATTCTTAATTCAAAAATAAAATGAACATGAAAGACAAATATCAATGGGAGAATAAGTATCACAGGAGTGCCAATAACCGTTCATATACCATTAATTATTTGGTGGTGTAAAGACTGGCACCACCGAAACCGACAAGTGCACGTGGCTATCAATCTACAAAAATGTATTATTTCACCGAGAGGCTTATGAATGGAGAAGAAATGTCTTACCGATTGAACAAGATTAATATCGTTTACCAACGCCAGCGACAGATCTGAAAGTGAAATATTGGATAAATTCCAATCGAGCATCAAGATCAACTCACCATCACTTGTATTCAAATATAATCGATTTGTATCTAGAGAAATTGATTTAGAAAAAATGAAATTGTTTCAGAAACAGAAGAACCTACTTACCACTTGCTTCACACCACAACTTTGTCGTTTGAGCAGAGCTTTGTCTCAGACAAAGGACCAGTCGACAGCCAGTTCTTGTTTCTACAATTAGAGTACCCAAACCAATTAGAGTATTGAAGCATAGAGTCATCTAAACAAGTGTTCGCTCAATCATTAAACTTGCACTTCTCTGTAAGAAAAAACGACCATCACCACATGAAATTCATTCTAATCTTTTGTGTTAACGCCGAGATGTTCAATAAACGTTTTGATTGATTATTTACAGCTTGAAGACTCATGTATATATGTTTAGTCTAGCTCAAATAGTAGAGCTTTCGAGTCTGCTGAAACCACTTCAGCACATATACAGTTATTTCATAAAGAACATAGGTGCATAATATGCTCTTATAAACGAAGGAAAAACGCGAGGAGAGAAAAAGAGTGAAGAAACAAAAGCATCCAAATATCTCAAAAAGATTTTAAATTGAAAAGTTATTAAGTGATGTTACTAAATTCAAATTATTGAATAAAGATCCAATAATAACCTGTGGAAACTAGCTCACCACTTTCTGAGAAAATTAGAAAACGAAGATTATTTAACGGAAAATGAATAAAATTGTATTACAATAGTTCAATAGTATTGCGTCTTTCGAGTCTTCCAAAAATTCACAAACCTAATGTTCCTATCAGATCGTTCCTTCCTATCGTTACATGGGCAAAATCATCCAATTATCAAATAGGAAAATTCTTCGCAAATACTATTGATACGACAACGTGAAAGTGAATATTCAATTAAAAACACTGGTGATTTCATATCAGTCTTAAAGAACAACCCATAGTTAACTAAGAGGAGAATGATTTGTTTCGATATTGAGAGTCTCTTTAGAAATGCTTCGGTGGCTGAGACAATAGATATTATATCTGAAAAATTCTATTACACAGATCGAAAACTAATGCCTGAGATCTATTTCCTTTGGTTATTAGACCATGTATTTAATAACAAATACTCCGGACAATTTGCATACTAAATCAGCTTACACAGCCGAAACATATCTCATTTTATAAAGAAATGTTTAAACTACTGGATTATCTGTTGAATTAGCTTTTAGCTTTACTGTAAGAGTTTTTGCAAAAAGAGCAAATATCGAGGATTGTTACGCGGACAGGCTGAATGTCGAATTATTATGAGTCGGTTGCATGCCGCTAGGGCTAAGAGAGCATGCTTCTATGACTATATTTAGGCTGGTTTATCATATTTTAGGAGTTAAAAACCAAAAAAGTTTTAAAATACTATAAGAAGTACGAAGCGCAAAAGCTGGACATCCACACATATAGCAAACTACTCTTCAAGAGGTTTAATGAGATTCAATGTGCTCTTTGATATTTGGTAGAATTAAATCCTGCAGATCTCCGAATAAAAACACCAAACATTAAACGTTTGCTCAAACCCGTTGATGGTAGCGATAATTGCCGTTGATTCCAGTGAGAGAAGAAAAGGCGTCGCTCTCACTATGAACATTGAGCATAACGCTACGGACAGCCCCACGTTTTCTAAGACAACTTGGCAAACTCTGAGGTAGTCAGGGTTTTTGGCGCTAGTCACCAAACCTTCGCAACCTCAGCTATACTTTCGATGGATTTACCCAGCCACAATATAAAATTGTCAAGAATTAGCGAAAGTCGAAAACTAGTTTTTTACATGGTCATATTAATTAACATTATGAATCAGCTCAAAAGGCGCACAATAGTCGTGTGGTATATCATTGATATGTAAAATTTTGAATAGGACTAGAGTCGTTGAAAGCTACATTTTTCGATAAAGAATAGTCGATAGTATATGTATCCACCAAAACCAGCTCGAGGTACTGCCAGTAGGGAAGCAAAAAGGTATTTCGAAAGTTTTGAAGGAAGAAACGACAAGAAGCAACAAAAATATAAAGAACTGCAATCTGTTTTACTCGTCATTTGTCGTCTCACGCTTTCACCATCAGATTTAGGAGATTCTTCTGCACTCATATATAGTAGTATCGAACATAAGTCCAAACAACTCTGATTACGCTGAAAGAGATGAAGAAATATTAACCTCTAAAACATTCTAAGTTCTAAATTATTTTGAGCGTAAGAGAGCTGAAGAGCAATAGCAAGAACTTAGCTTTATTTTAGATTACTTTGTTGTCAGAATATCATGGACACCTTACTGGTATGTCCACGACATTTGTGTATTTCTCCTTGTGAACAGTGTAAACTCAAAACTACTGCTCACTGTGTACACCGTTTTATGAATAACTTTCAATA